GCCTTATCACAAAAGCCGGGCGTGGCACTGGAAGATCAAATTCAAAAGCCCACTCAGAAAACTGAGTCGGCAAATACAGAGGAAACAGAAGTCCCGCCACCTGACTCAATGGAAGTAGGCGACGAAGAACTAGTAACAGACGCCCCGAAAAATGACCGGGCAGAAACACACAAGAAAGCTGATGAGCCTCAACCTATAACCATCCGCGCAAAAGAAAAGTGGAAAGCTTTTAACACGATTGCTGCTGCGCAAAACATCTCCATATTGCGGGCGGTTGAACACAACAGATGGAATTAAAGTCCATCTCAAAAATACAGATGATTATAGGAGAATTACTCGGATCCTCAATTAAAAGAAAATACCCTACCACACCTATACAATGAAAAGCGAAAAACCACTCAGAGTAGTTTTTCGCGGAGTTCCGGAGGCAAAGGATTTGAGATCCTTTCCGAAGCCCGCCTGAGTAAAGCTAACAAGGTACCGATACCGTTCGTGCTTGTTTTGGTCCCAAGGAGCCAAAACAAAATATATGAGATCACCGAAATTCAAAACGTGCGTGTAAGCGCCGAAACACAGAAGCGGGGAAACCGAGCAGGGCAACTGTAAAGCAGTTCCAGCCTGCGTCAGATGTGACGGACGGCACATGACCAAGGAATGCAAAAGACCTAAAAACTCGCCCTTGCGATGCTTTAACTGCAAGGGAGAACACCCACTGAGCTTCCATGGGTGCCCAGAACGCCCTGAAGATAAAAGAACCTCAGATAGGCCGAACGAAAACACAGAGAGACCACAAACCCAAGGCCTGCCGGAGAAACACAATCAGGAGCTACGTCTCGTACGCGAGGGGCGTCTCATCGTCAGAGAACGCCTGCAGCTCTCCCGAAGGTCTCTCAACGGCCTTAGGGCAGCTGCAGGCGCTTCCAGTGAAGTTTCCGGTACTGCAATCCATGCTTGCCGGAAAATAAAACAAGAAATAGTGCCTAAACGGCCGCAAAGCCAAAGAAGTAAGCTGCGACTTCCATACACAGGGCCAAGAGCCAAAAGAAGCCCAGAGAGGACCATGCAATCCCCTGCCGCCCCGCCGCAGGAACACAAGAAAAACTCAAACAGCCGAAAGGAACGAGTAAAATTGTACCTTGCGCATGAAATCATTTTCGAACATTAAATTATATTGATCCTTCGATCGATTTCAATAAAGATTTCATAATTTTTTTTCGAAATTTTTGTGTCGTTTTGAAAATCAAATCCTATACCTCTTAAAAAATCACGTTGATTGTAACCAATAATATTATGCAATTATGACTCACTATTCATGTAAGGGATTTTTCAAGAGAATTTTTCAGATATAGCTCTCACGTGTTTCGAGCTTTTCATCCATCGTCAGTATAGGAAAGTATAAATACTCGAATGGCTCAGTGCATTTGTACTTCTTTTGACAACCAAGTGTTGCCCATCCTTGCACTGGACTGCACCATACTGACGATGTGCCAAAGACCCGAAACACGTGTCTATGGTTTGCCCTTTTCTGCCCGATAAAATTATCTTGGATTCATATCAGGACACTCGATATTCTTTTGATCATTCCAACTTTGATTTCGATTCAAAATCCACCGGTAAACAGTTGTTTCGGCCAGTCGGTTATCATCGGTACCGCGCAGGCGATCCTTAATTAAAGACAAGATGTGAAGAAACAAGGTGAGTACTTGATAAAAATCACAGCGTAAACGAAAGAGAGATATAAGTGTAACGACATTCAAGTTAGCTTGCCATATTTTTATGTCGGCGTTGGTGGTTTGACCAATCTTAAAAACCGACAACGGCGTCAGTAGAAATTTGGGAAGTTCTCCTTGAATACCATTGGAATCCACATCTTTCTAGAAATGATATAAAATCAAGAACGGTTAATGCAGTCAAGCTGGTGGAAAGTAATTCCATAAAAATGAGCCACCAGTAGACAGCTGTTTCAGTCTGTTGGGCATCATCAGTACCGGGCACGCGATAAAAGCTAACTTGACTGTCACACCACTAGGTGGTTCCACTTATGTCTTGCTTGCGTTTACGCAATGATGGTTTCTCACTGAGTTTGTCTTCAATCCAGGACCGCCTGCCCGGTACTGATGATGCCCAACAGGCTGAAACAGCTGTTTACCAGTGGCTCTTGAACTGAAATCAAAAGCTTCCTCGGGTGCACTTCCCCAGGTCGGAAATTACAAATGTGATGAAAAAGATCCGAACTGGAAGACGTTTGAAGAACCGCAAACTAAAGAAATTTAAACTCAGAATGCTCAAAGTCGAAATTTTTTCACTTGAATATATAGTAATTTCGATCACAAAGATGGTAGAGATAAAAACGTCAGATGCAATGGTCACTTTTGATAATGAAATAACAAAAGTTTGACAATAACGAATTTACAAGAAAAAGTTGTGTTGTCTAAAATTCTTAGGTAAGTGAATCCAAAAACTGTACTTTTGGATCTTCTACTCTTCTACAGATTTCTTTGTGTACATTATGCAACCCTGTAAAAGCATTTTATGTTGGAAAGGGTACTAAACTCGTCAATAAATTTTAATTAACCTTTGAGTATCTGTCTGTAATTGAAAACGTTTCTCAGTACTTTCATGTGTCATTAAATTTAATGAGTTCACCAACACATAATTCATTACTTACTTTCGAATAATCCAGAACGGGAAAATTCCTATCCTTGTGGTTATCCACAGTATGGTGAAAATAGCGAAAATTGTATCACATACTTTTTGATAGCCTGAATATTTGGCCATTTTGGCAGCCTGGAAAAGACAATGAAACTTTGAAATACAAAAGGAAATTGCAACTGAAAAAATGTCTGTTCAAAAGGATATGTTCAGAAATAACAAGAATTTTCATTTTTCTCCAAACATATTCATTTATTAATCAATTTCTATTTTGTCCCCATCAATGTCCCTTGAAAATGATAGCAAAAGGAAAGCATGTTTTGAAAGTAGAATAGGGTATGCCGAAGTAGTTCAAATCTACTTTATTTGCATTTCTTACCATTGTTGATAAAGGGCTGTGGAATCCATAGTTACGGTAATGGTGTTTATTATGAAAGGTGTCATTTGACCTAGTACCGAGGTATTAATTTTAAAATTTTACTTCCATTGTCTAATATAATATAAATTGGTTTGATAACCCTAAAAAAAATCAAAACGATTAACCGAAAATAACAATTTTATTAAACAAAAAACTGAAATTACAAAGAATTAACATTCAACAACAACCAAACAAATAAAAGCTGAACAAATTGGACTTATTCCTTCGAGATCTGACTATTTATAGGTCATTCGAGTGCTTTCACGTATCCCCTCTTTCCGCTTCATTGATTTTGGCGTGAGATGACCGTTTGGCGGGAGTTGGTCGTTTTTAGCTTGATTAAGGGTTTCCATATGTTACGTATCTCTACGCTAGCTTGACTAAATGCGTTGTTGGACAACATACGCGGCTTCTTTGAATTTTCTCCTAAACCAGTGTTCCTCTTTGTGGATGATTTCAGCTTGAGCCCATAAATATTCATTATCANTATTAAAGTTCGAATTCTTCACATGGGAACTAGTATACAAGGAAAAACTAAATATTCCATTTTGCTCAACTTGCGAATGAATAAGAGTATATATACCATTTATCCATATCCTCCAGGATGACTTCATGAAGATTAAACTGTATATTGTTTCAACAAATATTTTGGGTACCAAGTTTTATACACTCCACCCTATCAAAATAAAGCTAATAAATAATTTTTTTGACTGCAAATTCCACAGCATATGTGCAAAATACATTCAACCGTGTGTTTTGTTCTTGATATTTGTTTTTACTCGTATACAGTTCTGGTGCAGGTTTTTAAATAAATAATTAACTAAAAATCTTATCGGTTTCACAGATTTTGTCGTCCACCGTGTGAACACAGAATGATTAACTCAGCCCCACAATCAACCAACTATAGCAAAAAGTTCCCGGTCATAATTGGTCTTTTCCTGTAAACTGTGATGCAACATATGAGGTATATTCATTTGGAATGTCTTTGATAAACATTTTGAATTCCATCAAGCACACATCACGAATAGATTAGAATCAAAAACACACTGAAATAATACATATTACATGCGGCAGCTTGAAAAAACAACTCAACAAATTTTTAAACCTAACTAAATATATGCCACAACTGAAGGAAACCTTTCATCGAAAATCACTCAGTGAAAGTGTGTCGTAGCTGCCTGTGTTCTAAAACAACTTCTCTATAATGTGGGAATAATATATTTGCTGATGTCTGTGTTGGCAGTCATTTTGATATTAATAATTGTTAGATTTTTTCAAACTGTCAATAAGTTAACTGGAAAATGAGCGTGATACTAAATTCGGTATTAACAGTTTAGAATGTTAGAAAAAACTGACTATTCAGTTTGGATACACACGTTTGATGATGGAAACAAGTTCAGAAACATTCAGCTGCATTGAACATTTTGAGTGGTGATTTTCATTTTACATAAATAAGGTTTCACCAAATTGGAACTTAGTCCGTATATCAAAGAAAACAAGAAGCAGAACAGGAGTTTTTCATTTGCAAATCTATCAATAGACATACTATAATGAACGAGTAGATCGGAAGTATTTGTAATCTTTGGAGTGAAACAAGGCATCCATTTGGATCCCTTTCAATAATAATCTAAATGATAAAAAAAACTATTAAAATTATAAATATACAGGTGCAACAAAAAATGGAGAAGATACAATGTGGAGTCACTGGAAATTGTTTCTGAAATACAATAACATGCTGTGGAAATTCACCAAAAGAGTTTAAAAAATATACTTTTGACAGCTCGAAAGCGACTTGAAAGGCTCTTCTAAACTGTACTGTATTAAATTTTGGATCTTCTCACAGTCCAGATTCAACTAACCTTCATCTCAGATAAAATGTACCCAGTCTTTGTATTTCAGAAGCACTTCACATGAAAATTTCGTCTTATAATTTTTCATTCCACATGAAATATTTCGATTTCATTGTGATTTTGAGTCTTCACTGTAATCATCACTGCTGGAACGGATGTCTCCCTCCATTTGGCCGGCATTCAGGGAGTTATGAACTATTTTCAAAATCAGATAAGTCCAAAAACAATGAAGGATGAGTAATAATATAAGAAGACTGTTGAAAATGTAGTAAGCTGGGAACATTGGAACAATTTTAGGAGCATCAATCGATGTACTGAAAAGAAGGAAGGATCGATTAATGTTTATATACCAGCACGAAATACATCAGATATTTTTTAAATGCATATTGACAGAAAAATTAATTTGTTTTTTGCAGACTTCCGGACTTACTTTGGATTTGGGATCCAAAAAACTAACGAAAAGATATGATTACAAAAACATTTTCAAGTCTTTATGAATTATCATTCAACCATATTGATCTAGTAACTTCCGACTAATATTCTAACAAGAGATTACGTAAACATTTATAATCAATATCGGGTGGCTAAAAATGTGAAATAGAAGGAAACTTAATCAATGTCCAGATTATCTCTTCCACGTCACCAGTATCACTCTAGAAATCTTCTTAACATTAATATGCTCACCCACTTGTGTCATGCTTTATTTTTTGTTTTCCTAATTCCAATATGGATATTTTGAGGAATTCAAAGAACAGTTCAAACTGCATCAACTGGGTTGTCCTAAGTATCTAGTACATACAATTAAAAATCTGCTAATTGACAGGAAACTGAGAGTTAAAATACTGAGTAGTTTTTCAGACGAATTTATCCCAGAGCAGGGAGTTCCACAGGGTTCACCGCTCTCACCATAGTTATATAACTTATACAGCTCTGATATTTATCACCAACAAGAGAATATCAACCACTTCAGGCATGAAGCATATATTCTCTAGTATGCGGATGACACCGCCCTAATTGCGCACGATCAAAATCTAGACAAAGTTATTAAAAATTTAAAACGTCTTGCAACAATAACAAATAACTGGTTCAATAAATGGAGGTTCCAGCCAAACCCATCTAAGTCTAGTTCATCATATTTAATTATCAGAATTCCGCAACTTCTCCAAAAATCAACGTTTTCCAACATATCTTACATGCAAAGTTGACAGTTAATTACCTAGGTGTTATACTTGATTCCAGCCTAAATTTCAACAGCCACGTCTATAACAAAAAAAGAAAGTGATTGCAAGAGCCGCACATTTCACTAGTTTGATAAACCCGGGAGCAGGTGCAAACATATCAACAGCAAGCCGAATATATAAACTAATCTGTTGTCCACTTATTGAATACTCGCACCCACTGTTTCTCAATATCAAACAAAGGGCCTTGAAAACAATTAAAGTATCTGAAAAAACGGCTACAAGGAAAATAACAAGATTAAGGCATCCCAATAACTCCGAATACAACCCTCCAAACCCTCTGCTGTATCAACTCACTGGTATTATCCCTATTGAGGAAAGACTCCTGTCACTTACTCAGAAGTTTGCTGGGAAAGACGACAATGTAGAAATCATCAGAAAGTATGCTATGATAAGAAACGCCCATGCAAGAGTCAACATTGACACCCAACAGAAACACTATTAGAAAGAACCCTGTGCTAACACCTGTCGGATATTATCTAACGCCCTTCGTGGTATCAGCCAGGGGAGTAGTTGTTTTCTGATAGGTGTCAGTCCATTAACCTACAATGTAGGTAAGTTAAGACTGGCCTGAATGAATTGTTTTAGATAATTTTATTTAGAGCCAGTCTCCAAGTATGCCCACTCACTTAATGTATACCCAAGTAAGTATTGCAACATTAATAGTATTGAGATATATTTTTGATATCATAACTGTAATATTTGTCAGTATTAACTAGCCACTTCCATTTTGGTGCCCCTTAAAGGTAACAATTTTATAATTATAGCAAGTTGAATTGTATTACTTTTACTTTTATGTAATGCTGTGATAATTTTTTGGTTGCAGTGAGAATACTATTTTTGTGGTAACAATTACTGTAATGGGGTTTATTGAGTAAATAAATAAAAACAAAACTATTTGGTCAATTATAAAAAACAACTCTCTATGTTCTAAATAAAACTTTGAGAAGTTTCAAAAATCCAATAGATTATTAAACTGGTGGTAATAGTAGTAGGGGTAGGACCAAGGTGAGTGGGTTTATTCGATCCTCCACTACAACCTTCGAGGATTTATTGTGGCTCACACCTATACAAACTCGAGCAAATGAATCCAGCTTTTTAACAAAGCCGACTACTGCATTTGGCGAGTAATTTTTCAGGTTAGCAGCAGAGCCTGAACTTACTAACAATCAAATACGTCGATTTTTCTACGTCAGATAAAAAGAATATGCGTTTTGTAGGTAATTAAATTTTCTATAAATTTCATTCTAATACTTGTTTCCTCAAAATAGTTTAATCGAAGTAAAACGTTCTAAAGTTAGTAGTTTGACAAATTTCTGAAGAGTGCTATTTTTCAATTTTTTCAAACTACATATTTTCGAAACTATCAGGCTGGAAAAAAGTTTAAAGACATGATGGTTGGACGGTAACCGATCAGGTAGAGGTGGGTGTTTTACTCCACTCACTCAATCGACCGCTGTGTGAACCAATGGTTCCAGCCGCGAGGCCGGACGATCGATTTTCATTTGCTATTGTTCAACCCTTTGTTAGGCATCACACGTTAAAAAGTAAGACCTCGTTAGTCCTTAGCTCGCACAAGTTTCAACTTTTGAGAGTTGTCGTTCATAGGGGGCGACAATGGGTTAACGGAAAAACAGATTTAACAAACAGAAGAAAATTTTGTTCCCACAACATCAAGCAGAACTTTTTCGTAGTTGAAAGCACCAAAAAAAAGATGTAAACAAAAGTCAGAAAAATGGACCAAGTTATTTTTAGATGATAGTTTCTATGGAAGGGCGGAATTGTGCTTTTTACATTTACATTTATTTATTGGACCATTCTGAAGTTTTGCTATATAGCCTTCAGTTATGGGTCAAATTTGTTATCAATTCTCAAATAAAATCATTCGTAAGAAAATAAGATCTACTTATATTATTATATTGTTGAAACCTGCATTCTACATCAGTTGATGAGCAGCATATTCATTCAATTACTGGGTCAATAGGGAAGAATTTCTACCAATGATGTCGCTACTCAAAGAGTTAAAAGCTGATTGGAATAACTGAATGTTAAACATAGGTCATATTTATTGTTTAACGTTTTTTCTGTTTTGATTTATTCAGGTTTGAATTTGTGAGAGAAAGCACAAGAAGCCACAACAATGCAGCTAACAGCTAACAGGACCATTAGTTTCAATATATCCAGTAGATGTGGTATCTGGGCAATGAACCCCTCACAATTGAAGAAAGTTCATGTTTGTATTCATATAAGATATTTTTTTACTATTATTATTATTGTTGCAATACTGTCTACCTTTCTTGCTGCTATCTGTGCTCTTTGTTGTTCAAGTCTCAACTCGTTCTCGTTCACACTATCGACAATATTTTTTCCTCCATGGACCATCTGCTTCTCCAACATCTTCAGCTTCTTCGCTAGTTCATCTACTTCCATCTTACCCATTTCCAGCTTCTTCTCTTTCTCTTCTTTATCAATTTCCTCTTCCCCATCACAAATTTCCTCATCTTCACCCAGACTGGTGCTGAAATCTCCATTACTTTTTTCCATAATGAGCTGCTTAAGTCGTTCAATTTCCTGTTGGAGACCCAAGAGTTTTCCTTCTTTGACATCCTCGTTTTTAACTGGATTGTTCTTAATTGATTTTGCTCGATAGGCGTATCTGGGAAAAAACAGCGTGGAATTAGGCAAAAATCACCTCATACTGAGTTCCTGACAAACCTCAAAGTGATGATTGTTTCTTCATAATTCATACTTGCAGGCCCCACATTGGCAATCATAATAGTTTTGCTGTTTCCTCCAAGAGAATCCTGTAGTAGTCGTGTGAGTTTGGAATCACGGTATGGAATGTGAGGTGAATTTTCAGCTAAGGCATAGATGACGTTTCCTGCAAAATCATTCCATAGAAAATGAAAATTATTCAAAAAAATTTAAGATGTTGTTATTTCTGAGTTTTCCTATACCAAGAATAATGAAACTTTTAAGGTATCTTTTGAAAATCGATGGACTAATTGGTAAAGTGGTCAAAGAATAAATCCAGCTGACAGAAATCTGTATTGATAGATAGATAGATAGGTATCCTATATTAGTTCTTTGTAATAAAAAACCTTTTCAGGTGTAGAACATGTCAATTACAGTAAACATTATAGAAGTAGAGGAAAATCATGAGGCAGTATCATTAATATTGGTTAAGAATATAAGAATATAAATGGTCACAGATGTATAAATAACAAGGTTATCGCAATCAATGTACTTAATGTAATCTGAGGATACACTACAAAAACACCATTTTCAAAACTAACTGATGGTGTAATAGCCGAAACTAGTAAAAAATAAAGAAATATCATGGAAAATAGACAAAAGTGTGTTTTTGTAGTGTATCCTCAGTGAACATGAATTTCCACAAAATAAACAAGTCGTAATATTATATTAGATACAGAACACGAATATCGCTCATACCAATTCTTGGTAAAATCATTGAGAAACTAGTAAAGGTAAGAATAATGGAGTTCGTGGAAAGAAATAAAATTTTAAATAGGCAGCAATTTTGCTTTCAGGCTAGGAAAGGAACTGGAGATGCCATGTTTGTCTTCCTTAATGAACTGTACACTACACTAAACCGTGGAGACGCATGTGCGGCGGTGTTTTGCGACCTGTCAAAAGCATTTGACTGTGTAAACCATAAAATTCTACTGCGTAAACTAAACCAGTATGGTTTCAGAAAACAGAGTTATGATTGGATAGAATCGTACCTTAAACAGAGAACTCAGATTGTGAGAACACATAGGCTCTCAGATGGAGGTTCCGTCGAGTGTGGGGTTCCTCAGGGCTCAGTGCTGGGACCAATTTTGTTCTTACTGTATTTTAACGACGTAGTAAATATTACAACCGACGGTTCTTTCACAATCTTTGCTGATGACACTACCATTCTATGGTACGATAAAGATGCTGATAACTTGCACTCAAAAATAGTTTTAGGGATTACAAAGATCAAAGAGTGGTGCGATGCTAATTTACTCTCTTTCAATATTAAAAAAACTAACTGCGTATCATTCCACTGTGCTTTGCCGGATATCCCTCTGGGTGATGGTGCAATAAGAAATAATGCATGTAATAAGTTTCTAGGGTTGCACATGGATGGGGAACTAAACTTCCAGCATCATGTTAGACAGCTAGGTACAAGGATCGCCTCGGGTGGTTATGCACTACGCATCGTTGTAAATGAACTAGGTACAGCGACAGCAATGCAGGTTTATCATGCCTTGATCGAATCGCACATTCGATATGGAATCGCTTTCTGGGGAGTCTGTAATCAAGTACATTTTAACTCAATCTTTGTTCTTCAAAAACGTGCAATTCGCTATCTTTGTAAGGCGGCTCCCAGGGTATCATGTAAAGAACTATTCAAAACTCGTAAGTTGTTAACTCTGCCCTCATTGTTCATTCTCGAAACTGCCTGTCTAGTATATAAAAACAAAACACTTTACAAGTTCGCTGATGGAATCACCCGCCAGAGAAATGACATAAAACTTCCAATCCCAAAAACAAATTTCATAAAAAATTCATGCATATATAACGCTGCCAAAATATTCAATCATCTGCCAACAGAAATAAAACATTCTGAAACATATGCTGTGTTCAGAAAAAAATTGAAAACTTCTCTTCTGGATCTGGCTTTATATAGTATTACGGAATTTTTTGAGACAGTGTTCACTGACGTCTAACATCAGCTCAGTATGTTATATGTGTTATTTAATTTATTTATCTTAATACTAGTTACAACCAATTGAAAATTAAATTAATTGATAGTCCTATATTTTATTGACAATATCATGTGAACCATGATATATAAAGTTTTATGAATGTCTACACTTTGTCGATAAGATTATTGTATCTTCAGACAATAAAGTATATTTATTATTATTATTATTATATACATCTATATGTAGGGTTTAAAAGACACTAAACTACATCACAATGCAGAATGATACGACATGAAATATTCAACAGGAACAACATCAGTTTAAATTATCATTGAAGAATTCTTCCAACGAATAATAAGCTTTGGAGAGACGCAAAGTTTACAATTTATTCTTCATGATCATAGAAGACAAAGTTCTGAGAGATTCAGGTATCTTGTTATAAATAATAATGATTGTAAGTCCAGCAGCTTCAGGGTATACTTACATACATGAGAACAATACTCCAAAAGAGGTCTGATGTAATCTTTATAAAGCATCAAAATTTGCTGAGGTGTGTACAGTTTTCTGGTTCGGAACAGTGTTCCAAGCTTTTGAGAGGCAGCCTTTGAAATTTCAGCAACATGATTGTGCCAAGACATATTTCCATTTTAACCACCAACAAACTTATTGAAGCAGAAAGCGGAATTGTATTCAGACTGTCCCATGTAACATCTGGACATTTCATTCTTTTGATTTGTGTCAAAAAAAATTAGAGCTATCATAGTTTGGGGCGAAATTTTTAAAGTGAATTTCAGGTTTTGAAAACGGAATAGGATTGTTTTCTGAAATTTCATCCACTTAAGAAAGCTAAGTATCAATATTTAATTTTTTAAATTTTTGGGCAGTTACTGACTAATTTGATTTAGCTTTAATTTTTTCAGATTGTGGAAGGGTATAAAATATTGGGTTATTATCTTCTAGTTTAATCAACAAGTTCAAAAATATGAAAAATAGAGATAAAGGTCCTAAAAATATGAGCAATAGCTCATTCGATTCGGAATCACCTCTAGAAAAATGTTTTTGAAGGATTTTGGTGCAGATAAAAAATTGCAATTGTTATTAACAAAATAGAATTTAAAAAAATGGTATTTACTTTTTCGTTAATAACTCAAAAAATATTAATACTTGAGCAATTTTGAAACAAGCTCGTTAAAGAGGAGGAAATTTCCGATAAAAAAGTCCCGACCCCCGAAACTCTATCGCCATTATTTATAATTTTAATTTGACTTTGAAAATAGGGTTCCGCGCGGCTGTTACGGCATGCGCGCGCTGCCGCTAAAGAGAGTTTATCAAAAGAAATAATTTTTTTATAACATAAAATGTCATTTTAAAAGTTTGAATAAAATCTAGTATCTTCTCAACACTTGAACGAATCGAGTCCCATAGAAAAATAAGTTTTATTACCATTTTTCAAAAAGTTATTCAATTGTTAACTATCAAATTTTTTTCCCAATCTCCGTTGGCATAAATAATGGGATAAAAGGTATAAATAATTGGACTATAAATTTTAAACTTCGTGGAGCCCTTTTGATATATATACTTCATACGATCCTG